CTGCGCACTGCTGCGCACTGCTGCGCACTGCTGCGCACTGCTGCGCAGCAGCCCCTGCGTGGGGGTCCTTCTCGCACTCGCTCATGGCACCGTCCGCCACGCGTCGCGGATGTCGTCGGACCGTCGCTCGGGTGGCACCGACCCAAAAGGCCGCTGTCGTGCGTCAGGTCGGAGGTTCGGTGGGTCGGAGCTGCAGGGGGTGGACGTCACTAGCAGTTGATGGTCGCTGGGTTGGCGCTGTGAATGTGAATTCACTTCATGACATCGTGACTATTTCATCCATGGTTGGTGCTTTTACAGTGCTGTGTCTATTTAAATACGCAGGCCAACGGTGGAGGTAGTGCATCGCTGCAGTATAGGTTGTACAACCAACGTACCCAAAAGAGGGGGGGCTCTTGCTTCTCGGGGTCTGAAAAATCACTCCGAATTTTTAATGGGGGTGCCCTGCAGGTCTATCTTCAACCCATGCTGCAATGCAGCAACTTCACAGATATGCACAGAAAGTAAGTATAGATAGATTCGGATTTCTTTTGGATCAATGCGGAAGGCCAAATCTCGAATCACTAGACGATCAGACTCCGAGTTCCCTCGGAGCCGGTGTCTTCACCTGCCGCGTTCCGCTTCGTCGCCAGATTCGGCTCTCAGGGCGCGCTCAACAGCTGTCTCGGTGAGAGTGGCCAAACGCGACCAACGCGGAAGCGACATGCGAGACATCGAGGACACCTCGGTTCTTTCGGTTCACGTCAACGGTTCTCGAAGCATACGTCGGAGAGAACCTACGGCACATGGATATCTCGAAGTGATCCCATGTGTCGATCCCATGCTGCAGATGATTTGTTTATATTTGTTTGTTTCAATGTGTTTTTTTCCAAGTCCGACCGGTCCTCCAAGTCGACTCCTGCCGCTCCTCGCGCTCGCTCGCCGCCACGCCACCCACAAGCGCCGGCGCACCGCGGAGGTGCGGCGGAACTCGGCACGGCGGCGAAGGGCACGGTCGATCGGACGGCGCTGTCGATCGGATTAGGGAAGACAAGAGCTCCCAAGCAGGACACTCCGAAAAACCTGGACCCTCCGACCTGTCGGGGGTGCCCTGGTAGTCCAGCCGAACGGCCGGATCCGTGTGGGGTAGTCGAACGCCAGGACCAGGTGTCGGTCCAGAGGTCGGTGAAGAGAGGCTTCGTTCTTGATCGCCCCTTAAAGGTGAATTCGTGTTCGATGGGGTGTCCATCCACCAAGCGTCCTTGGGATCCGTTTGGATCCGGATGGGAGAGATGGGCCTCCAACCTTTTTGAGGGAATGAACTCCCAGAGATTCCTTGAAATCCAGCCACCCGAAATTCCCTACTTTCGTCGCACAAGTCAGATGATCTGTTTTCATGATTGGATTTGTGAGTCGTTTCTGGAGGGTGAAGGCTGTTTTCATCGCCGATGGCAGTTTTTCGATCTTTTTTCCAAGCCGCCAAATGGCTTTCAACTGATCGATCCAAGTGAAGACTGGGACATCTGCAAGACTGGGACATCAGCTTTTGTGCTGGTCATTCATCACGCCCTTGACACCTTCTGTTTCATGGGGCTCCTATCGGGTCGTAGCATCGATCTCGCTCTATCTCTGAGGGCCTCCAAAAAATCACTGCAAAACATGGTGTAAATGCGGCTGAGATTCACTTCCATCGTTCTTTTTTTTGCGGACCAGTCTTGTTTTGGGATTCCATCCTCCCAAGTACAACTCACTGCCAAACAAAGATACTGGTTTCATCATGGGCGCAAGGCACCCCACATGAGTTCTTTTGCAACACCAGCAGCAGAGTTTAGGGCAGACGGCCCAGGTAGGTCCGGTGTGGCCGCCATTCGAAAAGGATCCTCGTCAATCTGTTGTGGTGATCCCTCCTGCATGTTTCGGTTCGGACCATCCGCATCCGAATGCGGAAAAATGGTGACTGTTGATGAATGACCCCCCTGCCACATCCGAACGCGTTTTCATCTTAATCTGGGGAGTAAAAATTCGTCAGCAGTCAACATTCTTGGTATGACCTTTAGGTGGGTCAATCAGTTTTTGCTATCTTTTCGAGACTCCGCATCCGCAACGCACACGCACAGGGATGGATACTTGGGAAGAGGCATTGGCACAATGGCAGCTTGGTTGGGTGTTCTAAATTCCGAGAGGCACAGGTTTGGGTTAGCTTTTCTTCTTTTCTCATGTAAGCAGTGGAGGAAATGGGACAACTTGCCAAACATGTGTGGTAGGTACATCCTGGAAGGTCCCTTTCGGGGTCTCCTGGCTACACTACTCTACACTACTTGTGGATCTCCATGTTTCGCACCCCGAAATGAAGGCTTGATTAGATTAGATCTGAGATCGCAGGCCAAATAGGATGAGCATCGAGCCATGGAGATAAACAACCAATCTTTTTTTGGTCGGTTGAAGGTTGAAGTTCTATTTTTTGTTGGCGTTATGCCACAAACACAGGTCCGTCTTGAAATTGGGTGACCAGCTTGCCACTCGAAGCAGAAGCGCGCCATGTTTTATTGTTTTTCATGTGTAGTACGTATGTAGAGCTTGAAACTTGAAGAATATTAAAACACTTTAGGGGTATTGGGCGGTATTAGGGGTAGTAAAGAATAGACTGAAGCCCCACTGGTTGGGGGCATCCACTCTGGCGGACAGTGCTTCCGATCGAAGTTTCCGCATGGTACGCCCCGATGTATCCCCACAATACCGTTCCAATATGGAAAGCACATCAAACAACAATAAGATCAGTAGATTGGAAGATTGTCAATCCTGAGTACTGCTAAGGGCTCCATGTTCTACCCCAAATGAATGATTTTCACTCCACTGCATCCGCTGCCGCATCTTCTCCTCCCAGGCGCACTCCGACCTCTCCGCTGGCCACGCTGCGGAAAGAAGGCGGGTCGTTCCGCCCGCCGCGGAGAGGGTCTGGTGGGGGGGGGGCCGACCCCTCCTTCGGCCTCCGGGGTCCGTGGCTTCGGTGCGAACGGACCGAACGGACGAGACTCGGTGGTGGTGGCGTGCCGGCGTGCCACGACACGGCTCACAGAGGGTGCCAACTGGGTCGAAGGGATTCGGTCACAGAACGCCGAAGATGTCAATATCCAACCAAGGATCATCCTGGGGTTTTGATATAGTTGTTTCTGTTAGCGGTTAGGGTAGTAGTTTTAGGTGGCAAAACCGAAGGGCAATACACAGTTCACCTCCCCTTAGACGCATCATGACTGGAGCCATGCCGAAGAAGACCGTCCCACATTTGTTGATTAGTCTTCTTCCTGAGCACAACTGCACCATGACTCTATCGACTGCTCTTCATTCACCAGCGCCCTCGGCAGAACATGTGCCTCAGGCGCCACACCACCGCCCACGCCGCCACACTCCTGGTGGCAAACCACCAGGAGTGGTCTGCGGCCGACGTTCGCCCGTGGTAGTTCGGCTCGCGTGACCCGTGGGGGCCGAACTTCCAATGACTCGTGGCGCCGTGGTAGTTCGGCCCGCGTGACCAAGGTGGGGGCCATCCAGAACTTCCAATGACTCGTTCTACCCCACCTGGAGGGTCCCATCCACCACTACCATACTGGTAAAATGGGTCATGATTGGACTCTCAGGGTCAGTGGGTGTGTATTCAAACAGACCCCCCTGGAAGAAGGAAGATCAACAGGAAATGGGTCCCCCCGCGTCTCCCTCCACAGCATGGACCCGTGGACCAGGTCCGTGACACGTCACAGTGAGCACCAAAGGCGTGAGGTCCCGTGCAGAAAGGATCCATTTTGTAGGAGACATATGGACTCAAGAAGGCAGGCGGGTTAGAAAGGCGGGTTTCACCTCAATCGTCTCGAGGTTGGAACTGTTGAGGAGTACTGCAAATCATCAATCTATTTGATGCCCACGACCTGAAACATGTTGGTCCCGCCGAGTGACCTCGCCGGGCTGTGGATTCCCACCATCCACCTGGTCGAGCGTGTGTCGGCGCATGTGATGGACGGTCCACATACAACTGTTGTCTTCTCCCACCTTCCGTGCCTGAATTGGATCGACATTGGGGGAAACCCTCTGGTGATTCTGACACCAATTTCGGATTCGGACGGTGTGTGCCACGTTCTGTGCCACGTTCCTTTCCACAGGGGACGAATTCCCGCCTCGAGGCCTGCATCCGCCGCAAGCACCGAGTGGATCGAGGGGGAGGCGGGTGCGGCGGGAGCTGAGGTGGTGTGCGCGATCTGGAAAGGGGGGGGACATTCGGAGACCATGATTTCAGATCTAAGTGTTGCAAGAAGTCATGCTTCCGGAAGGCTTGGATCTTATATGATCTTATTGCCCTGACTGCTTCCCCATCCGTTGGTTCACGTTTGGCTGGAGGTCCGAAGATCACCCAGTAGAAGCTCGAAATGGCTGGAGATCAACGAGCCAGACATCATCAGCCTCTCTAGACTCTACACACTATATCAATATTGATGGAGGGGTCTCGCCAGTCATCTAATGCACGATACTTCAGGAGGAAGACTTTTCTTTTTTACCGGGTCTTATAACATGTCAGCCGCGGTCGAATTAAGAAGTCCACTTCGGGCCAGTGAGGGACGGTCAATGACCCTTCATTAAACTCAATGAAAGAGCTTTGGAGGGAGGACCTTCGACTGTGTGAGACCGGCCGCGCCGCTCGCGGAGAGACCGCGCGCGCAGGCCGCGCGGCCTCCTTCGCGTCCGCTGCTGCGCTCCCAGAGCGTTGGACGTGCCCGAGGGCCGAGCTGCACGGGCCGGAGGAAAGGTCGAGTGGTCTCAGATGGTCTTAAGCCAGCGGCCCTCAGTTTCCTCCGGTTTTCACATACCAAAACCAAGGGAAAACTCGGTTTTGATAGTTGGTGGGGCTCCTCTGGAGAGCTCTGTTTTCGCCCTGGGCCACTCGTGTGGAGGACGACAGGTATTGAGTTGGCCCTACACCGATCGACCCCTCCGATCGACTCCACCAGCTTCGCAGCCGCGGAACCAGGTGTACCCCACGGAGGGTGGGCTTTGCGGAAGCCTCTTGGGGGGTCCCAGGCCCGCTCATCCGGGATCATCCGGGAGAGAAGAAACCTGGAGACGGGGCAGGTTGGAGGGAGGTTGGACGCGTTTTTCTTTCTTGTTTTGCAGTGTAGTTCCCTTCTTTTTTGGTAGAAGGGCTCCATCCTGAATGTTTATTGTTGTTAATTTGTTTTTTCACCGCGTTGTGCAGATGTTCTAGAGCAAAACGCCGAGTAGCCCACGTGTCGTTGCAGGTTGTTGAATCCTGGCTTCAGAAAAACATCGATCAGGATCAGATAGGCGATCAGTGTTCTCATCTCAAGGGATTTGATCCGAAAACCCCGATGAACAGCGATGAACTCTCGAACTGGGATCGAGATCGAGTCGTCCGCTACTCGTGCGGAAGCGCCAGCTTCGGTCCAGTGGTCTGCCAGACGTCCGAGCAAAATGAAATGGATGCTATGCCTGGGGGGACCCATGCTGGGTAATGCCTGGCAATGTATTAATGGGACTGAAGCCTCAAATCGTCTTCCTCTTCGTTTTTCCACGTCCGCACCCGCCTCGCTGAGATCGAACGGGTGCAGCTCCACTTGTCGGATCTGCGGTGCCAGGGAGCCTCCCCTCCTCTACGCCCTGCGACAGCGCGACGGGCACGAGCTGCGCGAGCTGCGCGAGTGCTACGAGTGGGCTCGGGGGCCGAGGGAGGGCGGGGGTTTGGAAGAGGTGTGGAAGATGGGGAGAAGTAGAGGGAAGGAAGAAGCCAGCTTCGTGAATATTTCATAGTTATCCTTTCTTGGCTCTTTGAAGCAAATGAATCTGCTCGAAGAAAGGCGGAGAAAGTGGCGGTTTTCCACTGAGCACCGTGAATAGTCAGAAGGATTCAGGAAGATTCTGTCTCACTGGATGAGTTCATCTACTCTGCAGACCTCAACTCTGTGGCTTTTCGGTCGGTACTCCAGTGGAGGAGTGGAGCGGCCTTTGGTTTCCCTCGCAAACCTCCATTCGTTGTGACGGGCGCTACTCATGTTGCTTGACGAGTCATTTCCAAAATTATCATGACCAATGACGACTTTCATTTCTTCAGACTTGCATTCCGAATGGACTTGCAGATTCATTGATGGTCTTGCGATGGTCTTGTCTAAGGCACAGCCGAAGATGGCGCCGAAAGCCTTTTTGAAGACCAAGAAGTTGGCGCGAAGCCCCAGAAGTTAGGCAGCGAGAAGAACTCCAGAAGATCTTGAAAGAGGATTTTACCTTCTATATACAGAGTCAGTTATAGAGACCCCGAAATAGATAGAAAAGTAGACCTCCATTAAAACATGTCATGGAAACCGTGCACTATACTCGCATAGCAGTGGGTAAAGACATCTAGACTAGACATTCAATCTTCGAGTCACAGGGGCACCGCCGTTTGATCTCCCATTGGGGAGTAGCATGGAGTAGCTTATTTCAAGCAGAAATTTCTGGGGTTCGTTGAATTTGTTGCTGCTACTCTGGAGGGAGCTACTCGTGGAATCTACGGCGGAATTTTTAGCTTGGCATATCTAAAAGGGTGCACGTTCCAGCACATAGAGAACCCTTTGATCCCTTTGAACACTGGTCCAGTTTCGCAGAGAGCCCAACTTTTGGCTTTGGTCACAGCAGGAGAAGAGGGGTTTGTCTGGGCTTTCCTGCTTTCCTTCATCTTCGTGGCCAGAATCCGGCAATGGGGGCTGACCACTGCATCGCATGTGTTGCTGCACCCGAACGATGCCATTCTTCGGGCACGACCAATTGGATGGCCTGCTGGCCTGCATCGTCTCCCGCGCAGCTGCAGCCGTTTCCTCATTGGCTCAGCTCTGTGACTCCGTGAGAAAGACCAGACCAAGTGGACCTATAGCTGCCAGCGTTTCGAAATGAAGGGTTTCTTGGGAAGACATTTTTGATTCCATCCAAACCATCCAGTGCATTTTCCTTTTTGCACTCCACACTCCTTCGATCCACCTGAGAGCATGGATGACAAGCTTTTTTTCAGCGGGGACAGTCGTTTGGAGGCAACTTGAGTTCCAACAACCTCGCTTCTGCCAGATGTTGCAGGCTAAATACTGACAAACTGATGGGGATGAGACATTCACTTATATAAACAATTTCGTTGATGAATCAAGTTGGGCTTCATGTCTTTGCGGATGTCAAGCCCCCCAAGAAGACCAGTCTTTTGCAGACGACCAGATCTTCGAAACGAATCCCGGTTTCGACCCGGCTCTTCGGGGTGGTGGCCCTCCCCAAGCCCCTCAAGTTCTGCTAGTTCGTTCGTGAGTCTCCGCCAACTTCTCACCCAGTTCCAACCCGCCCCCGAACTTCCTTCCTCGACTCGATCCGAACTGATCTTGAGAGAACTAGCTCTCCCCACCCCGATGAAATTGGCAAAGCCTCTTCAATCTTGAGGGGAGTCCAACGTCCCGCAGGATCTAAGCCCCCCAAGCGCCGCGCCTGGTCGACTCGGCGCGGCGCGACAAGCGCCCAATGGATCCCAATGGCTACGGCTACCGGCCGGTGCCCACAGAGATGGATGGCCACTTGGAGTGAAGAATCCATATGCAGCGGGCAAGGATGGCACTTCTGGGCAAGGAAGGAGGAACAAAGAAGTCGTCATGCGGTCTGGTCATGTGGTGACTTAGTATATAGATCATACCGTCAAGGTGGGTGGGAGCGAACCGCTTTGTTTTCTTTTTCCTTCGAATCGTGCGGGGCTTTGTTTGGTGTTCCCATGCATCTTCAAAAGGAGAATCGCTTTTCTATTTCAACTGTGAGACATCCTTACCTAGAACCTATACATCTGACCCCTGTTTTGGACAGGAAACGATCACATGATTGGGTGGTTGGGTGGTCCAAAATGAGAGGTCAATGCTGGATCTAACACTCGCTTTCTGGCGTTTCTGAAACAATGTCCTGGTGTTCCACGTCCTATGGGTGAAAAACATGTGAAAAGAAACCCAAAAAGAAGCCTAGCCGCTAGACATGCGTTCGACGCCTAGAGGCTTCAAAAGCAATCAGAGCTCGGAATCATCTCCCTAAACCATTGCCCAACACTGGACTGGTCTTAACCAACTGAATCCACAAACAACAAACCCCTTCTGTCCAGGGCTCTGGTGGACTCGGAGCACGAAAAACACCGACCGAGGGGCGACACCCAGCCCGGGCGCCGCGCCCGGTGCGGAGCCCCAACGCCGTTGGTTTTCGCAAAGAAGCGCCGGTTTTGGCGCGGGAGACCGGTTTGTGGGACCCCTGGTATAGTGTTTTTGTACAATGTAACATAATGTAACTGATGATGCACTCCAGAAAATATCCAACATGAGGTAGTTGAGACCTGTAGGGTATATGATAAAGGTGAACATGAGGACATCCTCATGTTCCCTTCGGGCTGCGTCAGCACATCTTCTCTCGGTTGATGAGCTGGGGCGGCGACGAAGACTTCGGGGGAGGCTTTGTGAGAAATCAGTGACTCCCTTCCCTTGGTCTGTGGCTATTCATGCATCAGGTATGGTAGGCTTGGGTGTGCTGTCTCAGACCACAGACCATATGGCGCTGAAGACCACGACGTCACATGACGTCTCTCTGCGGCACGTAGCCGAAGGAGCGAAGTTCAGAAGGTCGGTGATGGCGCTGTCTCAGCAAGAAGCTGGATGAGCAAAAGGAGAGATACCAAGCTTCTCTTAGATACCAAGAGCACCTGTTTCAGGATGGCCACCTACTACAATAGCCACTGCCACTTTCTGATACCAGACCCTTTAGGCCATCTTTTTCACACCTGTTGGGGCGTGAGCTTCCAGAGCTCTAGTCGGTCCCAGTCGGTCTTCTCCGGGGTTTCGGAGAGGCACCTCTGCCGCATCTGCCCATCACATCACCCATCAGAGGTTCGAAGGAGGCCTTTCAGAATAAGCAGCTTGGGTCGCAGGTGTCGCGGCGCGTTGGGATGTTGTCGGGATGAAGAATGATGAAGAGAATTTGGGTTCTGGAAGGGTCACTCAAAAGTCATGCAGCAAGGAACCTCTACACCCTTTGGTAGCCAGGTATCTCCCCCTGAAAGCCCTTTCATCGTTTGCTTTGCTTGTCCAGCAGCGACTGCCCCTCCACCACTTCCCTAGCCACCACTTCGTTCCACCTCCCCCACGGCCTAGCCTGAAAGCGCTTGACTCGTCTCGCCCTCCAAGCGCTTGACTCGTCTCGCCCGACTCCGTCTCTCCCGACTCCGTCTCGCCCGCTTCGTACGGTCCCAGGCAGTGGGTCGCCGAGAAGGCCTTGCGGGTGATGCGCCACGACTCCGCAGGACCGGACGAGAGACCGAGGCTCTCATGCCCCCGAAGCCCAGGCCCCCCCCCCTATAGGCTTCCGTAGGACCATTCAAAGAAAGGTTGACCTTGTTGCGTAAAATCCTTAGTAAAACAATGGTGCTTCGGTAAAGACCATTAAAAGCAATGGTTGTTGAAAGCCTAGGCACCCCGCACTCCCCCCCCCCCCGAACCTCACGTCACCGCAGCCACCGTCACCGAAGATCACCTCCTCATCCTCGCAGGCTTCGCGACGGTGGATCATTCCTCGGTCTACGGGGCCGCGCTCGCCCTGCCGCAGCTGGCGCGACGCTCGGCTAGAGAAGCAGACATCGGAGGTGCTTTCATGGGGGGATGGGTGAAAACCAGGGTTCCTTGATTCCTTGACCCACAGCCACATGCCGGTACTAAGTAGGAGCCATGGCATCGCGAACCGAACGGGGCGGGCGAAACTGGCATCGCGAACTACGAACGGAGCGGTCGGACGCTAATCTCCCTCTTGTTGTGGGAACGTCTTTTGCAAAAACATTGGGTCCGACTCGTTCCGCTCTTCGAGCTTGACCGGCTCTTCATCGCCACACGCCGCGTGGACCACGGGAGCGACTGACGACCCGAGGAAGCGCTGGTTGGACCATCTCGTACACAGGCTTGGCCATGAGAGGTTTGCTCTTTATGGTCTTCAACAACCTGCTACAAGGCGAGGACGGCGGCCCAAGTCTGGTCAGTGGACGGCGGAGGACCCGGTGTAGGACGGGTAGAACCAAAGAAAGCTCGCAATATGGAGCGCCGCTTCAGCAATCCAAACACGACGTGACGACACGGCAAGTTGGTCAAAGAGTCCGGGGTCGCTCGAATGAACCAAACATGGCATGGCCAGAGGCCACAGGTACTGAAACATTGGATCTATGGCTGTAGCGGCCCAACGATGTAGTGGCCAGTCCCCGTTGAACACCTATAGAATGACAGTGAAATACTCAAAGTCAGCTTGGTTTCTGGTACTGCGGAGAGAGATTTGTTGAAGCTGTACTGTTAGCGGTGGGAGATTTGTTTGGGGTTTTAGTTTTGATAGCGATGTTTTGCGTGGAGAGGCAACCACCAACTATAGAGGGACCTGGAGGGGGAACGAAAGTAGGGGGAGCAAGGACGCTACTAGGGTGTGTAGCTCAAATAGGGAGGACGTGGCGTGGCAACGCCCTCCTAACAGGTTCGGTTGCGTCTTCGACCAGTCGACCCAGCCATGGGGCGAGTGGCCAGGTGTTCCCCCGAGGAGAACGCCACACCCAAATCAACGAATGAACCCATATCGTCGATGTTTTAGGCCTTCTCGACCTATGTAAGCACAACTGATGTGCTTACCCCCTAGGGCTGCAAGTACCTCCTGAGAAGGTATTTGGACACTCCGAACCCAGCCCAAACACCTTCTCAGAAGGTACAAAAAAGAGCCCTAGGGTACATGAGCTCAAGGCTTCTTGCTGTACATGATCAGCAAAGAAGAGCGGATCATCAATAAGTTTGGAAGCCAGATGTGCCTCAGCGACATATTTGGCCTTGACGGGGCCGTATCGAACCGGATGGTAAGAGACAGGAGGCTTTCCTGTCGGTTTCATGTCTGCCCTGGAAACCCAGTCCCAACCAGAAAGAACTGGATGTTTCCCCAGTCCCAGCTATTTTTGTGATTCTGCAGAAGGTTTGGCTCGTGATGTCACGACATTCTCATCACCGGAGGCTGTCTTCCTCCAATTTCCGATGTCAGCAGGATCCTTTTCTCCCGCGCTCCAAAAGGACCCGCGGGTCAACCCGCAGAGCTCAAAGAACCACACCGAATCACCCCCGAAAAACGGCCCCCCCTGTATTCGGCCAAAACGGAATCGAGAAGAAACCACCCATCAAAAGCACCACCCGCAAACGCTTCGGATCACTTCGGGTCTCCTGCGGAGACCGGTGCCCCTTCAACCGAACACCGGACACCCCGGGTGCTGAGGTTTCTTTGCGACTTCGCGGCGCACATGGAACGCTGTCCGGAGGGACCCAACTGCGTGGGCCCGGGCGGGACCAGCTTCACCCCGCCACCCAGCTCGGAGGGCAGGAGAGAGATCGGAGGAGAGAGGGGGCTGGGGAGAAGGGGTTTTAAAGGATGGGATTGGACAAAGGGGTGGTTGAGTGAAGTTCAAGAGGATTCATCTAAAGTGTTGGAGTTCAAATGAATGCCGGACATCATCGTTCATGTGAGGTGCTTGTCTGGGCGGGAGGCTTCTCCTGGTCTGAACATGGATGTGTTTGAAAAACACCATTCATTTAATGGATGTACTAGGCCTAGGACTTTTAGACTGCAAAATCAGGTCGACCTTTCTTTTAAATTGTCTGGAAATTGATCCATCCGGCGCGTTTTCGTGCGTGGGCCGTGCTCAGGTCTCGCTTGTATCCGTTCGAGCTCTGGACCACCAGGTGGGGCCTTGTGACCGGAAAAAGCTGAAGAGGTCAGCGTGTTGATGAATTCATTGAAGGACTCGATCATGAGTCAGAACCTGGACCTATTACAACAGGTATATTATAATACCTCTTTTCACAAATAAGTCTTTTTGTGGAACAATTCGCTTTTTCCGTGCGAAGCGTGGTGGAAAGAATGAGACATCCTTGCCAGAGGCTTGCTTGCGCAAGGCTCAAAAACGTCGTAGGGCTCATAGATGGCCTTTTAACATTGGTTGGTTGGTTAATAGAAGGGATACCCCGAAGTGCACAACCAATGGGTATACTGTATGGTACCTGGCATCGACCGGTCGCGACCGAGGACCTTTGTGCGAGACTCTTTGGTATCTCTCTTCCCCGAGAGAAAGGCGGACATCCTGAAGGATGTGGACCCTGGAGAGTATGGAGCAGCTTGGAATGGGCGAACCAACGTTGGAATCCGGATTGTGGAAGGAGATTTGGAATCTTTTGGTGGATAGGAATCACGTTTGTTGTTTTTGTCTTTTTGCATCAAGTGCAAGAATGGGGGATCGTGCGGATATGAGATAGATGGTTTCCACCAACGATTTAGTTTGTTTGTGTCCCCTCTTGCACTTGCAGAAGTCATAGTTTTCTTCCAACACGTACTTGTGTTCCTAGCTGGCACCTGGTCGTTTTGAACACCTACCCATCCCAAGTGGATTCTACTCGTACACCCTGCGTCGCTTGCGTGCGCTCTTCTCGCGCGGAGGGGGCGGGGGCGGGGGGGGGGGCAGCTTCCCTTGATAGTCAGCACCTGCGTCGCCGAGGTCGAGAGCTATTGGCTCCGTTTAGTTTGCTGCTTTCTTTTCGTCCTGGGGCTCTGGCACGACTTAGCCGGAAGCTGGGACATGCTCGACCTCTTATGGCTCCATGGCTGCATGGCAGACGTCGATGGTGGGAAGAGTGGGAAGAGCTGCCAAACTGTTAACCTGCTGAAGTTTTATTCTATTTTTTGGGCCAAGGCTCCGTCTTTGGTCAAGGTTTCCTCAACTGCTCTCAGGGATGTTCATTTGGAATTCCCTTCCCATTTGAGAAGGAATGATATCTTTTTCCCACTGCTACGCAATCCAGGCCTTGTACAGGGCTTTTTGCATCAGCGCCCGGACAAGTGCGGCTTGACCGTCTCTGTTCTCCAGACAGGTTTTCCTTGTACCTGGTGCCCGATCCACCGCTGTGTTTCAGTGGATTAATTCACGTCTAGACTCGGAGCCTTCATCGCCCCCTAGATCCAGCGTTCGCCTGGCTCGCTCGCTGATTGGCATGGAAAGCTGCTGAAGAAGGTGCCCCCCCCGTCTCCAACCGCCACCCGTGAGGTATGTGCCCACGCAATCAGAGCTGTGGATCGTTCCTCTTGCTCCCAAAGAGGAGGCGGCAGACGGTTTTCCCTGTGCCTGTGGGATCTCGGTGGATCCCATACGCCTCAGACGTGCTCAGTCCACGTCTGGCTGTCCGGGTGTTAACACGGGGAAAGGCATTGATCGGTCACCACTGAGTTCCAAAAACTAGAGAAGCATACAGAAAACCAGGGTGGGAGGGTACTTGCTTCCGAAAAAACCGACGACGCGGTGGCTGGCAGCGCAGGAAGAGGCGGCGCAGCCCATGCCGACGATGCTCCTCTCGGACATCGCGGCGCACGAGGCCATCGAGATGGACTTCGTGCAGTTCCGGGTAGCATCTCGGTCCGAATTCCACAGCCTCGTTTTGGTTTGGAATCTGGTCTATTGGTCTTTTGGGATTGGTGGAAGACATAGTAGCCATTTCTGGCGCATTTAGGTTCTTTTCTTCCTGCAGTGGAGGATGTGCTTCTTCCAGGTTTTGGAAAGACGACGGAGTGAGGGCCGGAAGCTCCGCGGGTGACACGATCCTGCCACGACTTTGGCTCTCAAATTCCTGAGACTCCCGGTGAGCGACCCCCGGTGAGCGACGCATGGACGAAGGGAGATGTATAGATTGGGTCTGTCCTATTACCTGTAACAGTCAGTAAACAATTACTGTATCATCATTTTTGAGCAAGGCCTTTACTAAGCATCATCAAGCAGGTCAGTCCGCCTGCGAGGAACTTTAAAAATCCTTGGAGAATCAAGGGTACACCATTACAGGCACCAGAGATGCTACACATTTCGTTTGAGGATCTTGTTCAGAACATTCGTTCGGCCTCTCCTTGAGCTTCATGCCAATTCGCACTACATTAGGCCACTAGTACGCAGCTGCTGACTAGTCGTCTGAGGACACAACAACATGTGTCCTGATAAGACTGAAAGCGGAAAAAATCCACTGTTATAGGCAATAGGATAGACCCAATATATAGACCAAAGCCCACCCAAATCGAATGTCAGATGTGTCTTCTCATCAACGTTTGCTCAGGCGGGGATGCCTTTGCACTGGAAGCTCTTCAATCTCATGTGTCTCCTCTTCCCGACGCCTGAACCTGAAGCGTTTTTCAGCGGTTTTGGAGTGCGATGGGCCATGGGCATGGTGAGAAAGAACATGAATAGGGCTACAGGGGGACGATAGTACTTCATTTTTCTTGTTTTGCTTTGTTCTTTGTTTTTTTTGGTTGTTGTTCCACTCAGCATCACCAGTTTCTGGCTCACTCTGTCACTCCTCGAAGCGACCATGTGCCAGTCAACTGCCCTGCTTCGCCTTTTTTTCTGATCCACAGCTGGTTTTGGCGTTTTGGTGAATCAGAGCCGTTTTTCGTTTTTCGGTCCATTTGTCACATGGAGGCTATCTTGAGTAAATAGTCAATTGTTGTGCTTTTCAGGAATGATCAGCAACTTGAGCTATACAGCAACAACTGTAATTGGTATCTGAGACCCGGAAGACAAGTTGTAAACATTTTAATTCCGCTTACATGGTTCGCTCGATCGACGCGCTGTCCGGAGGAAGATGTACCTCTGGCTTCTGACAGTTGACATTGGAATAGAGACTTGTCTTAGCATGGGAAGTGGGCACGCTGGTGCAGTGTATGAAGGTCTGAACAAGAAATCAACTCGGCCGAAAGAGGGTTTCAGCATCTGCTTCTCGCAGGTGGCATCAACTACGACCATTCCTCAGCATCAGGATGGGAACCACCATTGATTGGATGGTTTTTACAGGTTTTTACCAGACAACCACTGTTTTACTTAGGATTCTACACTGCACCGCAAGGTCAATCGACCTCGTTGTTTAATGGTTTTTGATTGGGTGAGCCCACGCCCCCGAGAAAGAAAAGGGTGCTGAGCAGCTGACCGGGTCAGGTCTTTCTGATGGAGACCTCCGAGATTGAAGACATGCTGCTCGGCCCGTTTTCGAACGGGGCCGCTGGACTGGGGCTGGACTGGGGAAGAGGTCTACCTGGACCTGGAATCCCACCGAAAAGTCTTTCGTGTGGAGGAAAGATGATTTATTCACTTTCTGATGTTTTTGCCTGACATGTTCTCCTATATTTGCGGTCCTGATCTTTCGGTCAGAGATTCAGCCTCTTTTTGCCCGCGCTTCGTTCGCTGTGCTGCTCTGCCCTCGTCCTGTGCCGAGTCGAGTCAGGATCATCAACTGCGTGGCCTTGGGTTTCATCTTACAGATTGACCCTCGGGCAGGCGGAGTCGGGCTGGAAGGCTCGGTCTCGCGGTGCGGTAGCTCGGAGGGTGCAGGGTAGCAAGAGGGGGAACGCTGCGGTGTGCCGTGCGCCTCCACCTGATCCAGCTGCAAAGAACCGTTCCTTTCATTTACACTGCAAGGAAGACGACTATGGAAGTGAAGTTCACCATTTCTTTGGTATTTGGATTTCATGGTCATCCGAAATCGAGGGCATGTCATCCGCACAACCATGATGATTCATCCGAAAGTGCAACTCTATGATCTCTCTATCTCCTTTTTTTTGCGCTCGCTTCCAATGCACTGGGTGCTAGGTTCTCCCCTGTGGTGATGTCTGGGTGATGTCAGTCCGTCAGTCCGTGGACTTTTTTACACCTTTTCGAAGACCTTTTTTGGGCGTCTCCTTTGGGATCGATGAATTCGGCGACTTGGTTGGATGTATTTTTTCTTTTGTTCCAGGGCTTTCCTCGGTGTGGATGGGAGAAACGCAAGTGTGTGAACTCTCCCACAGCCAAAGTGTGAAACGCTAGCTGTTTTGATTCACACACACACACACACACTCAAACACTTGCAAGCATGTTGCCGGCAAGAGTTAGCTTCGATTGCAAGATCGGGAGCGCCAGAAAAAGAAGGACATCATTCAAAGCATCCAAACATCCAATTTCACTAGGTTCACCTTTCACCTTTCACCATTCCGGTGGTTGGTTTCCGAGTCTCTGGATGCCTGACTTCAGACCCGTGTGTACACACGAGCTCGCTCGTGGGTTCCTCGTCCGAGGATGAGCTGATGATGGGCATCATGCCGCCGGAGTGCGGAAAGATCCTCGAGCCGCCTGGACCATCGACGGCTCTCCCGCCGCGGGGAACCGGGCACGTCGGGCCGTGTGGTTTGGGGCGGTGGCACCTTTCTCCCTGTCAACTTCTCCCTGTCTCCTTCTTGGGGGCGAAATCGCAAGTCAGGGCAGAATCCAGTAGCACCCTACGCAAGACACCCCCCTGTGACATCACCCATGTGTTTTTCGTTGACGTTCCGATCGACCTCGGGAAAGAGGTCAGACTTCCACTGATCGTACGATGTGAGGTCCATGAAGGGCTACGCAAAGGAGAACCGGCCGCCCATCCATGTGCCGGTGCCACGGCGAGTTGGCGTGTTTGGGGCCGGCTGGGGAGTGTTTGATACCACCTTCTGCAGCACTCTGCTGCAGGGGCACCAGCACGCAGACCCCAAAGCGCACTCGGCCATAGACATCTGGCAGCAACACCCTGCAGGCGGCACCGGCCACACACATTTGGCAGCGGCACGCTGTAGCAGCACCCATGGCACCTTTTCCTAAGCTTGAAGTAAGAAACCCAATAGCTCTCAGGCTGTCTGGAGCCACCTTTCCGTGATGGAAATTCTGCCATGTACAGTGTTGCACAGGGTTGAAGGTAGTGGTGTGGGACTTCTTCTGTCAACAGTAGGTAGTTGCGAAATTTGTGTGAAGGAAGACGAGGTTGCTGCAAGTTTATGATTTTACAATCCCGGTGATTGATGGGGATCTTGAATAGAACAAGCAACAACCAATGCATTTTGTTGATGGTTTACGAGTCTGGCACATATGCATCATGCGCGCGCGCGCTCGCCAAGGCGCGTCTTGTGCCGTGCAAATTGCGTAACTGAGGAGGACGAGGAAATCATCCAGCATCAACAAGCCAGGTTGGGATTGCAGAAATTCCTTTTCTTTCGCGAAGAGGAAAAGCAATGGGTGGCATCCTGTGTGCATCTTAAAGCAGAGATTCTCTTCCTCTTCCTCTTCTTCTTCCTCTTCTTCTTCTTCTTCTCGGTCTGCGTCTGCATCTGGGTCTTTGTCTTCGTTTTCGTCTTCTTCTCCTTGCTATTGGCTAGTGCTTCTGATTTTCTCTGAAAGGTACCGCCAGAGTAGGAATGCTTTTGGTCCGCATCCTGAGGCATGGGGGTCTCCACTCGGTTTCACTAAGTTGTCTGGGTGTTGGAGCGAACCACTGTGATGATGTTTGGATACCCGAAGCGTCGCAGGTCTCTAGATTTGGCGGGGGTTCCGAGTTGACGTCGGTTCTTTGTCCTGTCCACGGTGCCGCAGCTTCGGGGAAGGAGTATGTAGTCCACATGAAAGAACAAAAGAGATGTGCATCACGCCGCGAGAGTGGAAGGAGTTTGGTCCAGCTTTGGGGGTGTCCAGACCACCCCTTTTCTTGGGCCATTTGTGGATGCGCAGCCACGAGGGAGGTTCCCTACTCTCTTCATTGCCTCTTCCACGTTCAGGGTCGTCAGAAGCGTGCCGCAGAAGCATTTCCTGACAAAGGGCCACTGACCCACGGAACAACCAGCAGCGGCGCTAGGTTCTAGGTTCTGTAGCAGCACCACGTTGGCAAGCGTGCTACCATAACCACCTTAAGATGTGCCAAAGGATATTGTGAAGTGTTTTTTCCTTTGTTGACTTATGATTAAAAAGCTAGACCCCCCCCACAATAGCATTAAAGAGTGTCATCCAGTCATTGACATCCAACCTCCAGGTTCCCAAATTGAGATGAAAGCGGAATGAAAGGGAACTAGTATTGTGGAGAGGTTCCATGAAAGAGTAATTTGTTCCAGGAATTGAAATGGAGGGAACTATATAGCACTGTGGAGAGGTTCTGTGGAATTGAGATGACAGGGAAATCGTGTTGTGGAGAGGTTCCAGGAATTGAGATGAATTGGGGCTACCGTAGATGGACGAAATATTCAAACCCTCCAAACCACCTCGACCCTTTCCACCCCAAAATCCAATGTTAGCAAGCCTATTGAAAGAATTGTTTTCAACAAAGTCCAATGGTAACCAGTCAAAAATGACTAGGACAGTGATCGAATCCCTGTGGGACAACAATGCAAAAATCTTCACAGGCACCGGAAACTGCGGCTGATGGAAAAATAAACAAGTTCCTACAAATTACAATGGTAACCAATCACACATGAACAAGAACATGATCAAATCCCCATGGGACAGCAATGGAAAGGTCATCACAGGCATTAGGAATCTGCTGCTGAACCAACAACGCGCACAAAAAAGACCAACACCATATCATTTGGACGGAGGATGTTTAGCTTCATTTAAGTGCATCGGTTTGTAATCGTAGGTCAACATTATTGTGATCATTTTTATTGTTGGACCCCCTACAGGTGCGTTCTTGTTCTCAGAGGGCCTATTCATCAACGCACCTTGCTTGCGTAGGTCTTGGCACATTTGGACGCCAAACTTGTGGCTGGCTCTGGTTCCACGGCGCTTGGTGGCCATGGTCGCAGTGGCCAGCTTCTTTGTGGCCAAGTACTATGTGGAGCATTGCGTGCCCAAGCTGGCAGACAATGGGCAAGGACGTTGGTGCACATGGTGCCAGAAAAGAGGCGGCTTAATAGCTTGGGTATGTTTGTGTTCCGTCGCAGCACCCCCTCCTCTTGATGTTTTTTTATTTGTTTTTTCGCAAAATGTTCAACATTTTTTCTATCACTAAAGATTGAACACAAACACAAACACACCAAACACAGGAGATTGAAAAAGCATGCGCATAGATCATCACACCCATCCCAACAGCGCACTCTGCCATCACAGCGAATGAATGGACCTGTATTCCACCGAATTTCCTCCAGATCTCTTTCGACGAAGAACCAAAGAAGGTTGCAGAGTCGGATGTGATCACAGAATTTACACCCAACTGCCCCAGAAACACATGCCAACTCTGCCTTTGACGGCATTTCCTTTGAATCGGTCACAGTAGCGGACCCTTTTCCGGTCGCTCTTTTTGGAGGTCCAGGACGCAGAATGGCAAAGTCACGTGGACCATGAAAACCGGATTGTAGAGGAACGTCTTCTTCCAGGAGTCCTTTTTCAGGGTCTATGTGAGTCCTTTAGAAGGGTACAGGTTGTGACCCTTCTTATCGCACGAACTTCGCCGTACTCGAGGTCATGGAAAGCGATTGGAGTTTGGTCTCGAAGCCTCTGCGTTTACCACGGGAGAGCAGCTGCTTGAACCCGAAACCGCTGCGGTTCGGAGATGAGTGGTGAAGTGGGGGACTTCAGATGGAGAGAACCCCCCGAGAGCAACAACGGTGTGTTCTTTGCCGAGACCTCTTGCGAAACATCGTGTGTTCTCAGCGTGGGGTTTGGTAGCACACTCTCCGAGTGACCAGAAGCTGCGCCATCAGGATCTTCAAACTGGCAATATATTCATGACAAGTTACTAGTCCCTAGAAGTCCAAGACCCCCAAAAGTGGTGGACCTGGTAAACAATGGTGGGCCAGGAAAGATGAATTCGAGAACGTGTCCTTTGTGGTCTTTCCTTCTCCGGCCGCGTCGACGGGTTACAGCACACACCGCGTTGTTTTTACGCCGTTACGGCCGGTGCCGTTTCCTTCGGCCGCCACGGGTGCCGTCACTTCAGTCGACCTTTCGACTGAGACTTGCCGTGGATCAGCTTCCTCTTCGGACCAATCCCCATCCTCTTCCCCATCGACGCAGAGGATGAACCCGTTTGGCAGATGCCGGCACCTGGAGCTGCAAGTGGTTTTTTCAAAGTGCGACCTGGGTGCGAGTGGGTGGGGTGCATGAAACCCACCCTCTATCTCAACAAGGTAACCGCTCGAGGTAGGGATTTCAATCCTTGACATGCATACCGATTGAGAAGCAATGAAGCAACGACAGGCGTTTCGGTCTTGGAATGAGGATCTTTCACTTCCTCAGACAGTAGGCAACCCCCAAATGCAAGGAAAAAACACACTTGATCGAAGAGCCTTGAGCTTTTGCTCCCTCTTTAGACGTTAGCCGCTCTTTTCGACCGCATTGAAACATAAGGAGACCTCCCAGCAGTGTGGTGGAGCTTTCGGGTACACAGACCTATCGTCACCGGAAGTTACGCCCGAGGACTCCTCTTCACCGTGAACGCACGGGCACCGCATGCCCCACCGGCGGCGAAGGAAGCCGAACGTGCTTCACCGCCCCCCCCAAATGGTCCGAAGAAAGTCCGCCCTGCCCTGCCCTGCCAGACCATTGAGAATGTCACCTGGCCTCAGACTCATCACAGTGAAGCTGTTTTCTTTCTTTAAATCACCTGCTCGTTGTTCTTCTTTTTGCTTAAGACACATCCGATAGGATCCGAGAGGTGCTGTGTGCGGCTTTTTCCGAAAAAAAATAATCCGGCCCAAAAGTCCAAGAGGTTGGCAGCTTTTGCAGGCCGGGAACCCCAAAAACGATCCCAATCGCCCACCACCTAGGCCTTAGCTGGAATCGACTGAGTCCGCAAAAAATGGCAAAAAGAAGGTTTGGATGGTTGGCAATGGTGGTCCAAGATAGAGGTCACAAAAGGGCTCTAGGCCACGTATTTTTATGTATTTTTAAGAGGGAGATCCCCGAATTCTCGCGACTGGGTAGATCGGTCCATTTGCATTCGAAGGCCTAAAAGGTTTCCCTATAGTGGAGCCACACGCCCTAATATATTGCCACAGGCCCATATATTTCCAACTTGCTGGTGTGCTGGGATATGACATCTAATGCTTGAACTTGTTGTTTGAGGGACATATACACACACACACACTGCACCATATGAGCCAAGAAGGACTTGGAGCGAAATGGAAAGCCTGTTATTCAAGAAGGGGCTCCTAAGAAGGATACTTGGAGGTCGAGAGGCTTCTAAGAAGACCGCCTCTTACAGAACGTTAAGTGAAATGCGAATCAACAAGACTCCATAGCAAGGACCGACATAGGCGTCCAACCTGACGTAGAAATTCCCAAGACCACAAGTTGAGGGGCATCCAACCTTAACTGAGGTAGATTCTATTCAGGCTTTCAGGAAAACACATGAAGATCTCATAGGTCAAGAAAGCCGAAGCTGATGCACGCAGATGCAAAGGCGGTGGATTTGTCCTAGTTAGGTGCCGGGCACAGCGGGAAATGTCCAGGTATCTTCAGGGGTAGGTGCATTTTCCTCCGCGTCCGGAATCCATCTCACCTAGAAGCTAAAACTTGTTCGTTCGTGCGGGGTCAGTGCCCACTCAGTGCCCACCCCATGCTGAAGGCGTTTATATATATATATATATAAGTGAAGCTCACAGTGCAGATATGAGAAGAACACATCCAAGAACACGGTTTCGCTGAATTTTTTCCGCACGCCTGGTGGAGGAACGTGTGTTTTCGTTCGTGCTCGTTGGCCACCCTGGGCCGTGTAAACACCACGCCAGGTGGATGGTGGGGCCGTTGTATCCATAGCGAAATCGGCGGAGATCACCAGAAGCAGTGTTTTCCCGGCAGACGTGAGCAGTCTCGGAAGAGAAGGGGTTTAGCTGCGTGAAGCACAAAGGGTTTTCCCTGTCCTGGTTGTGCGGATCAGGTGATGTTTTTCTTTTTCCCGAACTGGTTAAATCTCCTTTGTGGGCGTTCTGGGGAATATATAATATATATATTAATATATATTATGTTTTTCTTCCAGGTTCCTTAAGCAAATCCAAGCTGTTTGCATGGTGCGCTTGCGCTTGCTTTTCTTGGGATTTCCCTTGGTGGACTTTTTTCACCAGTGCGTGGTCTACTTCGCATCTCGAGCATCTCGAGCAGCTCAGTGTGTCATCTCGGAGATCGGGAGATGGATGGATGTGCACCTTCAGACATTCTTCGGATGCGAACAGTTCCCTCCAAGGGATGGCAGGTTATTGTACAGTATTTTGTTATTCTTTTTAACACATCACTTTTTGTTTTCCCGGAAACTAACATGGAAGTGCCTCGACAAAGAGGTGTCCACTTCCAAAAAGAGTGCCGCACATCGCCCCCCCCACCCCCCCCCCAAAAAACCCGCGAGCTCTCTCGTCCCTGTCTCCGCCGGCAGAGGCAGCCGTCGACGGCGCGAGCGCCGGTCGAGTGAACAGCGGAGCACGAACGGAGTCGAGTCGGCGGGAGCGCCGTCGGAGTCGGAGGGCCTCTTCCAACCAACGCCCCGAGTCGAAGGAGAGAGAGAACGAGGTTGAACCAGGGCCGCCCTGGGCGGGTGCGGAAGTCCCATTCACGAAAGATTCACTTCCCAAGTTGATTTGAAGGGCTAGACTGGCGGGGAGGTGCAAGTCTTTGAAAGACTCCAAGTGTGCGTTTTGACACCATGTTTCTGACGATTTTAAATGAACACAGGTGACCTGATGCACCAACAATTGCACGTGGTGGCGAACAGGTTCATCGCATGGACATCGCGCAGTTGGTTCGTTTCGTTGAAATCTGTGGGACTTCTATCCTTCTTTGTGAGATGGTGTTGCACAGTTTGATTCACTGACCCAACGTCTCCCAAGCTATTCACTGTATCGAGGCACGAATCCCCGCAAAATCCAATGATTGTTGTGGAATCGATCCTGTTTTGTAGAGGAAACACTGGTTAGGATATGTGGATAGTCGTGGATAGTCGTGGATACAGTGTAGTTTGGGCAGTCTGCAGCCTCCGCACTTCAACTGACGTAGCATACACCACCACCCTTGAGGCGGCGGTGTCTCACATTTTCTCGCCGTAGAGACTCTCGACCCAAACCGAAGTGTGAAGACCCGAACTGACGCGCAACTGATCAGATCGATCCGAAGATCCAAAGCCCTTCCACATGGTGACACGACACATGCTAAAGACACCCCCCGAATTCACATGGTGACGTGGATGGCGGCGCCGCATGGCCACCTTTCTTTTGGTGAGTCAGACGACTTTCCTTTACAAAAACCAGGGTTCTTGTTCACTCGCTCCACCCAATCGTGTCATGCCGATCGATGCATCGAGATCGCGTCGTTCTTCGATGATCGCGTCGTTCGCGGCGAGACGATGCGCCATGCGGTTCGGTGAAGCCAGCCATGCAAAACAGCACATGGGGGATTGCGGTGAAGGAGCGCGTTCTTTGGAGTCCAAGAAGAGACATTCAGTAGCCCTATAATGACTTACTAAACCCAAACACCCATTGGCCAACGGGCTTTGGAAGGACCAATTCGTGTCTTCTTGTCAGCCGCTGGCTCGCAAAGAATGGAAACGACTTCGAGCACACGGCATCGCCGAGAATGTTGGGGAGCACGCTAGCACGCTGATTTTGGAAGCACGGCATCGCTTTTCCCAAAAAACACGAGCCGGACACGGAAACGACATGGTTTTCAGGTGAGTCCATGTGGAGTTCATGTACATTCTAAGCTCTTTTCCATACAACTCAGCTTAGAAGGTACAGGTTGGCGAGAGCGCCCAGCAAGACATGTTGGAACAAGTCTTCTTCACACCACCGATCAAGTGAAGTCTGCCACACACCACCGACCCGGTCGCATCCTGTTTGGCCGCTCACCCGGTCGCTGACCCCGCCATGCCGCGTTCGGCGAAGCGCTTTGCGGCGGTGCGGGAACGGCTGGAGGAACAACTGAAACACGTGGAGAGCAGTGCCAAGGCCTTGGAAGAGAGGCAGTCGCGCGAGATAGGATCACGCGCGCGGAGTGGAGGGATCGAGATAGGATGACGCATGACGCGGAGTTGGTGGCGTGACTACTTATACCCTACGTATCCTTATGTCTATTTTTTCTTGGAGCTCCAAAGGCTTACTTCTCAAGGAAGCGAAGGTAGTGTTTGTTTGGATCCACGGCCATGTATGTTTTGAGGGCCCAAAACCCACACCGGCTTGGTCGTACGCGCAACAGAAACCACACATGAACTATGACCCCACACCAGCTTAAACACGTTTCACCCTAGGACAGACTCCGATCGAAGCGATTCTGTTTGGCTTGTGAAAACACATGTTTTCACGCTCGGGTCACCGCTTAAAGAAACCCCCTCGGCGTTCTAAGCGCCCCGTCCGGCTGGAAACGGAGGCAACGCGAGTATGAGGAGCTTCGTGGTTTACTGGTGGAGTTGCCGCGGAAGGTGCAGCATCCCATCATGGCCGCTCGGTGTAAGGAGGTGGGATCCAGGAAAGAGGTCATGTGACTCCAGGTGGATGCACGCACTGGCGGACCGTCTGAACAGGCGCACTCATACCCTCCCTTCCCGGTGAAAACCGGGGGGTACGGGTGGGTCTAGACCACGAAGTGAGACCGTACATAAAGAATAGGGATCAATTGTCCTACGAACACACGGATGCACAACCAGCCAGGGCATGGCGGAGCTAAAAGGGAAAACGGCACTGGGGGTCTAGGTAAAAGGGATGCATCGATCAACACCGAGGGCTAAAGCATCATTGGCCATGAGGCCCAAAGACACTAGTACTAAGTGAACACTGATCAATTACCTGAGCGTAGAGAAAAACCTGACGAGTACACGCGCAAGCCAGGCGTGCAAAAGAACCCTCAGGGAATTTATTCTGGAACCAGGTGGCACCTTGAGGCAAATACCTAATTGACAGGCTCGGCGCGAAGGTTGCGAGAGTCCTTCATGAACCTAATTAAAGTTCGGTGCTTTGAGGCTATAGAAGTCTTTTTTCCGAAAATGAGCATTACAAACCATTTGTAGGAATGTTTCTTTTTGGTTCGGAACGACTTCAGGCCAGGCGGGCCATATGCATTCTGATTGAGAAGGAGGTAGTTGTGGCATTTCAATCTCAGTATGGTATGGCGGATTGGGTAAAACCTCTTCCTAAGGGGAGCTTTATTCATCAACAGTCTACATTTAAGGCGCAATCCAAAAACTTCATAAAGCCCGGAAGCTTTTGTGTTTATATATAACCAGTGGAGGAATGGCAGCTGAAGGAAAAGGAATGATAGCGGATGAGTGTATGCGGATGATGAGCGGAAGTATGATTGATGGTGAACATAAGTGAGTGCGTGGGTGAGCAAGTGAGTGAGAGGGTGAGAGATGAGTTGGTGTGAGATGTGGGGAACATGTAAGACTCTGCTGCTGAAAACATCGTACAGCGGTGTGAGGGTACATACTCCGAGGATCGTTTTGGGGGAAAGGAATGAAATGATCCATCTGCAAGACTGCAGCTGCACCTTCATGTGCATGTTTGGTATGTTGGTCTTCTTAACTGACTCCTTGGACTCTGGTTAGGTCATCCGTCATCCCACTTGCTGAGAGCGGGAACCTACCCTTGCCTGGCAAAAGGCCTCCCTTAAACTATGCACTGCTGATACCGGTGAGGATTCATCCCCTCATCTCCACCACATCAAATGAGAACGCCTATGCACAAAGAATTCGAAAAACGCAGATCAAAGGACTCAATTCGCTTCAACCCACGACTCGACCCAAGAGACACATCGTGCCCAGGGAGGTCACATCCGCACCGCGCCGGGTGCCCTTCGCCCAGGTGCCCTTCGGACCTTTAGCGTCCTTCCCCGGACACTTGGTGCAGACCAATGAGGTGCGGGTCGGACGCGGGTCTCCGGCACGCAGATCACTGGTCGATCAGGAAAGAGGAAACAGGACATGTGGCTGGACACACTGAAAGGACTGGAAAGCATTTATTCTTTTGAACGGTTGATCAGAAACAAGCTGGATGATCCAGGGTCTTTGAGGATTCGTTGTTTGTTTTTGAGGATTCGTTGTTTGTTTTTCAACAGGACTGGTTGATCAGAGGATTCGTTGTTTGTTCCAACATAGAGCTTTCGACGTCCGCTTTTCAAGCAGACAGGTGGGGGCTTTGATCCTATCAGTTCCGATCTTGGGGTGCTGAATGGAGGAGAGCCATGCTCGGTTTTCTCACTGGATGGGTCCACAAGCCCACTGCGACATGGAACTGCTGGTGGCTTCAAGTGGTTTTTAAGGGTTTCTTTTGGTCGAAACATCGTCTGCCGAAACAGCTCGCCACCAACATCCAACATCCGGCGACCATGGTTGTTGCGACGGTCGCTGTTATTTTTCCAGCGGCTACATGTTTGTCTTTCTGGCACTTGAATTAGTTGAAGTTTAACTACTTGGCAAGCCTTGGGTGCTCGTCACCCAAGCCCCATGAAGCCCCACTGCCAGACTGCCATATGGACGTTTTTCATCCCCCCAAGCGGGATGAGCGACTCCCTGAACATATACAGTATTTTCTTCAAGTGGGATGAACATGGAGAAACAAGTCCTCTTCAAGTATTCCCTCATCTAAAAACTAGCCAAAACCACCTCCCCTGCACCCCCGTGATCACACCGCGATGACTGTGATCCACCGTAAAGAACACAGACCCTCCTGTGATGATCCCACGGTCAACGGGGACCGCAGCCCTCGCAGGTTTTGACCCAGCTCTCCTCGGAGTACTTTGCCTTGCGCACCGCCCCAAACGCCGTGGGCCTGGTCGATCGGCGGCTGCGGCGGCTGCAGAAGGTGCCCTGAGATCAGGGGGGAGCGGTTTTGGCCGGGAGCGGATGGGCCCGGGAGATCTTGGGATGGGGAACGAATCATTTTGTAAATTGATTATATAGAGACACTCTTGAACAAGAATCAAGCCGCCGCGCGTTGGAGGATACTTGATTCATCTGACCTGCTTGACCTTCCGATCTTCTTCGACCGCCTCGGACGCCCTCAGGACAAGCAGGACGTCGACCGGGAGTTCCGGGAGTTGACGCTTCAGCGGCAGCTGGCCGCCGGCGAGGCCGTTCGCTCCACCTCGCGCCGGGAGGAGCCGCGAGCGGTGCCGGGCGTGCCGGGCGCCACAGTGCAGACGGACGAGGAGCTCTCGCTCCGTGAGCTGTTGGTGATGAGGGGGGGAGGTGAAGATGATTCTTGATGATTCTTGTAGTCCATATTTGAGTTGGTGAAATGACATGAAATGACACTTCAAATGAAACAGATCTCTTTCGGCACCCTACAGCTGGAATGGCTTTTCGATGGTGTGGCAGGTTAGATGACATTGGCATGCAGAAAGTATGTGAGCTTGGTCCAGTCTAGTATAGTCTGGAAGCTCCTGGGGTTTGATGGTAGCCCAATGCGAGTGCAGGAAAAGAAGCCACTCAAGTGTGACCTGAAGGCTGGAGGACCTCCAAAATCCACGAGATAAAGGGATGAGAACGGCCTCAATCTCTTCCAGCCTCGACCCAACTCTGCCAACCCGGTGGAACACGGACACCGACACCTCGGACACTGAGACCTCGGACACGCGAGGACGGCTTCTTCGACATCCGAGAGCCGGACCCGGAGGCGTCGGAGGCGATCAGGGCGCCTTTGGTGGGAATGGAAGAGGAGGACTATGCCTACTTGAGGCTGGACCATGCGAGACACACTGAGACACAGGTTTTGTGGAACACGCTTTTTCAATCTTCATTGTGGGTCCCATGTTCTGTGTCTTGCAAGATCTTGCAAGTCTAGTTTTCTCTCACTGGAAGAAGACCCTGCCATATCCTGCCATAATGCTTTTCAGGGATCAGCATCTAGCTCATCCAGTAGCTTCAGGTTTGGGTTACCCCGCAGGCCTGAAGACTTCTACCAAGCGCAGAAAGCTGCGCGTCACGCCGGTGGGAGCGGCTCTTTCGTGCAACGTTTGCGGGAGCTGGAACGAGAAGAGAGGGAGGAGGGTGAGGATGAGATGGATGAGAGGGAGGTGCGGGATGAGATGAAGGAGTTGGATGAGATCATGAACCACTACAACCCTCGTGGCGAGCTCTCAGAGCCAAACCTTCCGTCCCCTGCGGCGGCGGAGCTCTCTCCTTCGGAGCACCCCGTGGCGAGCTCTCCGGCGGACCTCTATCGCCTCATGGGCGACACCGGCAGCTCCACCGGCAGCTCCACCGGCTCCGGCTCCGCCTTCGCGCCGGAGATCCGCGAGCGGAGCGCGGCGGAGCTGGAGGGCTTCCGTGCGGCGCCGCGGGGGGACACCGCGCCGGCGCCCGCACGGGTGTCGAAGTTCAAGGCAGAGAGGGCCAGACAAGTCTCGTGATGTTCGGAAGAAAAGGAAGGAGAGACGACCTTTCGAGCTGCTGTCTTTACAGGGTTCTACCGTATTGCAGTTATCAGGTTTTTAGGATATGATGGAGAGTGTGTGATCGCTGTGATAGGCACTGCAGTTGACTATGAGGCACCTTGTTGCTGGGGGGAACCATTTCAGGGCGCAGGAGGGTGAGGGAGAGGGTCGGTTCCGAGCATCGGTTCCGAGCGTGGAGATTTGGGTCGAGCACTCACTCCGGCTCTAACGCTGCATTCCAGGTCTGGGGATGTCCCCAGCTCCCAGCTGGAACATCTCGACACCCAAGAGCTTCATCTCAGGCCAAGCACATGAAAGAACTCACATCCTGCTCCAAGAATTGGAATCTCTTCGGTCCCCGCCCCTATGCTGGGACCGAACCCCAAGCACCTCAACGGCTTCAGACCCGACATCCAACGGCCGACCCGACCTGACCCGAACCGACGGTGTCCCGAGGCACACAGCCGCTCCTTGACCTTGCCAGGCTGTCGGATGTGGCGGGCGGAATTGGTGTCAACAGGGTGAGGGCGGGTGATTGGCACAAACAGCTGGTTGGGTCATGTATGGTATTCTGTTGATGAATGAATAGCTCCCATCTCCAGAATGGCGTTACATCTCCATTAAGATCCATTAAGTTGTTTTTTTCCATCAATGGTCTACAGAGAGTCTACAGTCACTACGGGACAATTGAAATTGATGTAGTGACATGGAGTCATGGAGTCCCATTCTCTCATTTCTTGCAAGACGACACATTTCGAGGTGGCATAGTCTTTCACTGGAACCTCAGGGTGTTGTGAAAAACCTCAATGAAAACAGACCCCGCTAAACAGCATCCTTGCCCGCCCAGAAAGAGCATATCCTTGCTCAGCCCAACCCATCAACCACCTCTTGCGCCCGGCCGCACCAGCGTTGGCTCCGATTTTCCGCGCGACTCGACGAGCGAGCAGCCGGCCCAATGGGAAGCTCGTCCGGTGGGACACCCAGGTTTGGTGGTGTCGTGTGCCAAAAAACCGGTGGCCAACATGCGGTGGATGCAGAAGAGTAGGTGATCATGTTGGTTTTCTGTGGCTTCCAAGCTGGCCCACATGTCAGTGATGGGATGAAAGGTGAAACAAGTTCTGGGTGGTGCCAGGTTGACTATTTTTCATTTGTAGGGATAGAAGCTGATGTTGATCTTGAGGTGTTTGTACGATAATACCTTGTGCATTCACAAACCTCTTGAGCCAGACCTTTCATGGCTTGTCTATGCTTGTCCCTTCCTGAATGTGACTCCGCCTTGTTTCCATGGGGGCGGGTTCTAGGATTCCTTTGGGGTAGAGTTCATTGTAAGCTATCTTTTCAAGATATTTTTGGCCTCATCAAGCGTGATATCCTTAGTCCTAAGGCCTGCCTAAGGGGGGTTACGACTTACAAAGGATTCCTTTTGACAGCCCTGTCCCTGGTGTGTCCCTTCTGCGTCGGCCGACCGCACTTCAAGGACCCACAACCCAAAGACAGAGAGGGTTTGTCGGGACCTCCCGTGAGCGGCACGGAAGAGCTTCGGACCTCCTGGTCCCCCACTTCTCGCGAGAACGGCCCCCACCAGGTCGACGCTGGGTGCTGCTGGCGCCCCTCCTCCTGCTGGCTCTCAGGCTCCAATCCTCCGCTTCACATCGACCCCAGAGAGGGTTGTTCGAGTGCTGGGGTGTTTCGACTTGCCATGTTTCTTTTTTGTTGACGACGTGTCAATGAATGGCGGACGTCCGAGGCTTGGACTCCCCTCATTTCGTCGTCAGAGCAGTGAAACCGATCAGCTGACCCGAAAACCAGGAGATCAGGCAAACCCTTGCCAATGGGTCCAGGCTTTTCCTGTTAGATAGGTTATCCATGGTTATCCTAATTAGTTGATTCACCAGGAGCCTTCATCCAAGACTGACGATGGAATTTCTGAACCAGGATGCATGATGGACACTCTGTAGCTCCTGACAGTTCCAACTGGCACGTCTAGCAGCTTCTTCAGCCGCTGAAGCAACGCCATGCTGTTGTAGGCCTGACTCCCTCTTCGTTGGCTTCGGCAGACAGGCGTGTTCTCCGTGACTGGGTGACCTCTGGAGGGTTGGGAAGGGCCCTGTCAGGTTTCAATTGGTGATCTGGCAGTGAGGGTCCTGGTAGAAGTCAGCTCCTGAAGGTTCTTCCACCACGTCCGTGGCGCCAGTGCTTTTATGCCACGTCCAGGGCAGGCGATTGGGCGCCCGACCGAACCTCGCCCGTCGACGAGGGATCTATTCCGGGCGTCCGGGCGAGCTTAAGTATGTGTGAAGCCGTTGCTGGGTGGGTTTTCAGAGATTCCATTCAACCTTTACTTGGGAGGATTGACAGGTCCTCCCGCGTCCTCCTATTTGTTCGGTTTCGCCCGGTCCTCCCACCAAACCCAGCTTCAAAAAGGCGACTTGCGCCGCAGCTGAGGGTTGACCTGCCATTTGACCGACCTATGCCTCCGCCCTTTTTGGACCTCCGACCAGGTTCGGGATGAAGAAGTAGGGATCGTCCAATCCCCAGCCGCCACACGGCCTACCGCCACGGAGTTGCGGCGCCAAAGCGAGGACCCGCGTTGGACTGAAGTTCATGTCCGATGAACCGATGACATGAACTCTCATGACATCAGTTCATGACAGGTCAGAACCCAACTCGGTGTGTCCCCATTTGACCTGCGCGGTGCAGCATCGTTTTCAACCTCCTCATCCGTTGTTTTTTTGTGGGTCGAGTAGATGTTTGGTCCAAGCGATCAGATGGAAGCAACACAGGATCTGCAAGACTTTTCATACCAGCAAGAGAAAACGATTTGTTCTATTAATTATTCATTAAGTCTTTAAATGTCTGATCCACGTCAAGACATGTTAGGTACAGTCGAACTTGGCTCAGCGCCAGGCCTCAGTGCGAGACCCGTCCAGCAGGCGCAAAGGGGATCTTTCGGGCCAGCCGGCGCACGGCAGGACGCAGGACGAAAGGGTCGCTAGGGAAATTCGCTGCTGGCGGAACTTAGAGATTCACGACATCCTTGAGTTGACTGTTCACCTTTGGGAATCGGCACCGCTCGCTGCTTGGGCTGCTCACATATAAGCAAATTGGTTCATTGAACCACCAGGGTACGCATAAGTTGAACTCCGACGTGCAACGATTCGCTCCGAAGCAGAAACAAAACCATTTTTCAACCTCGAGACTCGTGCGCCAAGATTGAGGAGAGGGAGATCGACACGGCACCTGAAAACCCCGTTTATATAAAACCAATTATTACCAGATTAACATGGACCCTGAACCCCCCCGCTGGGTGGTAGATGAGAATCGTCTTGCTGACAGGGCTCCACTTTCATGGTCCATGGGATCGTCGTTTCCGGGGGGGTATATTCTAATATGTCGGGACTCATGTACCTGGACCCGACTTCACAGGTGCGACACCAGGTGCCAGGAGGGTGCTGGTATGGACTCATTTTCTCCACAGAAACACGATCATTGGGCACCTTGTTTTTGGACAGTGATCTCACCGAACAGCAAAAACAGTGACTGAAAAGAGGGTAAACAAAAAGGTCCAAGGGACAAGACAAATCATCCTTGACGAAGCATAATTCCCCTTGATTTGGTGGATGCAGAACAAAGAAACCGAAATGCCACGAACTGCTTGTTGATGGCAAGCGTCAGATTCCTCCTTTAGATTTCAGATTTCGGGGTTCTTTTGCTGCATCAACCCATTTGATCAAACAACTGCTTGAAATCCGAGATGTGTGAGACATGATTCTTGGCTTCTGACCATCTTTCACTCGCATCGGCTCGGGAATCCGGCGCGATCAACAAGTCAACACACCATCTTCCCCTCGCTCCAGCGCCTGCTACGGCCTCTCAACTCCAGAATCCGGCGCCCCGAGTCGATTTCCGCCGGACCTCCGGCGCCCGGGCCACGGCGGCCCGGAGGCTTTCGCTGACCGTGTGCCGTGCGGCGGCCGGCTCCATCGTGGTCATCGCCGGGCCACCAGCCGCAGGCGGGGGTCGTGAGGTGAATTCTTTCCACGGTGGGGTGGAGCGGTGGAACGACGTGGGCTGTAAAGGGAAACGGTGTTTGGTCGATATTTTTTGTTTTATTGATGTTAACTGTTTTGGTCTTAGAGAGGAGTCTTATTTCTTTGATGTTAACTTTTCTTTTGCAGGATTGACGCCAAGAGCTCTGATAGGTGTCGATCTAGCGCTTTGTTTTGAGGTTTAGCGGTTGAGCTGCGAGGCTGCGGTTTGGTCCTGAGCGATAGAGCCAGATTGTGTCACTTTTGTATGCTTCGTGAAGAGAAACATCTCTAAATATCATCAAACATCATCCGACTTTTGTGAAAGTAGAGCAACTCTGTAGTCACTACAGTTCCCCAGCCTTCGTGGATTTCAGTCATACCCCCTGCATTCACCCATTCTCTTCATGTTCAGAGGGTACATGGGAACGTTTTGACCAGCTAACATGAGAACTTCCAAGTCTTAGCAGATTGCAATACCCGGATAGAGAAATGCATCTATTATATGACATGCCTGTCGGACAGCCTGTGGGTGCGATTCATTCATGTTTTAACTTTTGAACATGTTGAATCGTTAGCTGGCGACCACTTTTCCATGGTGAATCGTTACCGGCCTGCTCGCGATTTCGCGGAGGCAAGGGGACGCAGTGCGAGAAGATCAAGGACTTTCACAACGCGGTGCGAGGATTTGTTTGCACTCCCCCTGGGAGTCAAAGACTATAGAAAGAACGGTCTTTAGGTGACCCGAGTTCAGAATTTCCTTCACTTCAGTCGGTCAAAATATAGACTTCTAGGGCTCCTGTTTCAAGTGGTTGTTCCCGCAAGAACCAGTCTTCATTGATGCAAATTGCCCTTGCTGAAGCCTGTTCTTTGGCTTTTAGAAGCGTCTCTAGCCGGAGACGGTTCCAAAGAAGTACCGCAATAAGACCATTGGACCACAGGATGCAACTGTTGCCCATTTTCTTTGGCTCTCTGCCGCGGAACCATCGAAGCGCGCCACCTGGGTGGTTCTCGGGGTCCACGTGCATCACGATATGACCAGGTTAGCCCATGTCGACCTGGTGAATCCACATCTGGCAGAGGAACATTTTACATTCTCTTCCCATGTTCCGAAACAAGCAAATCCAAGAATCCAAGAGCCCAGATTTGTCGTCTTCTTGAAGAGTCGCATCGAACCCGGGTTCGCCGGAGAACCCGGAAACTGGGCCTCGGCCACCCCGCAGAATAATGGGAACGCGTGGGGAGTATTTGCTGAGCTCCCCATGTGCAGAACGTATTCCAAAAAGACCTTGGATCTAAGAGCAATGGCGTCCAGCCAAATAGCGATGGCCTCCAACCCAATAGCAATGGCCTCCAACCTACTATAAGAAAAGACCTTGGATTGGATTCTTTTCGCCCCTTTCTTCTGGTGGCTCCACGCCGGGCTTCGTTGACACTCCCGCTAAGCCGCCGCCGCTTCGTCGCCAGGAGAAGTACGGCTTCGTGCACATCTCCACAGGTGGCGAAGGGGGACGTCCAAAACCTTAGACGCAGGTAAGCTACCCAATGCCCTAGCCAAAAGAGGATGGACTCCTTCTTTTGGAGGGGTCACACCTCAACCTCCCCTAATTCGACCAATATATAATATGTCGTTGGGTTCAGCTCTCGTCTCTCGTTAGAACCTAACGCACGCTGAGACCTGCCTGTTCTCAGCGTGCTTTGGAGACCTTTTGGGGGTCGATGTCCATTGCTGTTCTTCGATGTCCGGTGGAAGCTGGAGAGCCGGACCGGGTGGCGGCTTCGGTGGAAGCTGGAGCACCGGTGGAAGCGGAGTGACTGCAGAGTGCCGGACCGACCGGGTGACACGGCGGGGTGTTCGCCCCGAGGTCAGTGTGGCTAGACGCGTCGCGTCTCTTCGGCTATCGCCACATGCTCTTCGGCTTGAGCTGATTTTAGCATGAATGGACATAAGCATGTTTCATGACCAGTCCATGTTTTTAGCTATAGTTTACAATAGTGATTCCCCAAACATATATAGTGGCACGGTGTCAGATGTTTTTTGTGGGGATCTGCTTTTAACAATCCTTTCCTTCTGCCTTTCCATCTTGAGCTCCAGAAGTGAGGCCCCCCATATGAAGAGGTCTTTCAACATGGTGGTGGTGGTGGTGGTGGTGAATCAAGAGCCTACTAGTCCTTCTGTGGAGGACTTCGCGACCTGGCGGTCTCGCCTGCGCCCTCTTCCCACGTGAACGCCGGTTCCGCGCGGTTCCGCGTCCTCCTTCCCTTCTCTACCGATCCTCACGGATGGCGGAGAACGTGAACGGCAGGCGACATCTTGCGCGAGAACGTGAAGCAGGGCACCGAGCTGGGCCTCAAGGTGCGGAGACCGTCCGACCGAAGAGGGAAGGCGGCGAAGAGGGCGAAGAGGGGCTGCAAATGCCGAAGTGGTGCAGCTGTTGGTGTTCTGTTTACATGGCCCCCCACCCAGATTGGTCTGGAGGAACCTCCTCAATCCAAGCGGAATCCGCCCAAAAGGGGCCCACGACACGCGACTTGGTGAGGATTTGGGGGGAAGGGCGGCGGCAGTCATGGGGCGGACGGTGGACGTCATCGATCTCGTGGTGATATCATTCATCGATGATATTAAACATGGCAGCACATGAAAGGGCCCTTGACCTTCTCGCCCAAAAGATATGACCTTCTCATACCAGCACCTTCCAAGGTGTCTATTTCTAGCCGTGATTCGGGGTGTCCATGATGTCCATGTCTACCACCCCGAGTACGAGACGGCCTTCTCATACCTTCTCATACCTTCTCGCCTAATGACCTCCTCTGACTTCCCGTCAATCCCATGACCCCCTTGGATCGCCATGGCGTCGCCGTCCTCCGGACAGTCCGTTGTTCACGGATCCGCGCGTTCGCCGATGCGTCAGGCCAAAGGCTTCATGGACTCTGGGGCGTTTGGGGACTCGGTTGGCTGGGGTGTTGGGGGTTGGCTGGTCGTTTGTGAATGTTTGATCCAGATGGTGAGTGAGTGAGTCAGTCAGTCAGTTAGGTAGTATCCAAATGATTAGTTTTGTTTGTTTTGCTTTGTTTGTTTTGCTTTGGTTGGTTTGTTTTGGTTGGTTGGTTGGTTGGTTTGTTTTGTTTGTTTGTTTGTGTGTTTGTCTGTCTGTCCGTCTCTTTTGTTTCTTCTCATGTCTTGTTTGGCTCGTCTCTTCTTACATCCCATCCCATCTCTATGTGTCTGTGGGATCCTGTCGGCACGTGTCGACCGTTGCGAAGTACAGTAACTATCACCATGATTGGCACGTTGCGAAGAAGTGCAGCGAGGTCAACCCATGTTGCACCCAAAGGACATGACGATGTTCGACTCATCGTGAGTGGTGGAACCGTTGGTTCCCCGGATCGTCATACTCTCAGGTTGGTGCCCAGTGAACTCATCGTGGATTTGGTGAAGGACCTCTTGATGGGCATGTTTTCATGGATGGACGTCCACGCCTCTACGCCTGATTACGCCAATTGGACTCACGGGTGAGGTGGATTGAAGCAGTGAACCATCAAATCCATGGAAGCCTTCCCAGTTGTTTTTTGGGTTATTTATGGATATTTATGGTGATTTCACCGGTGACGATTCTTTCGGTTAGCTTGAGGTTAGGTTGCCTGACCCACATCCAGATATGTGGCAAGGGCATGCATATCTTTGGACCAAAAACATTGCACTCTTTGTGTTCGTTTCGAAATACGCCTGTTGCTTGACCACAAATAAACCGACCTTTCTCTTCCACCCACGGCACGTCCCCTTTCTCGCCTCTGCTTGGCGCACTCTTCCGAGCACCGTGAGGACCGTTTGACGAAGGA